TTTGTGTAACAAAAGCATTACGATTTCTCTGCTGGCGTATTATAAATAAATTTCCTAATATACAGGAGTAGGATTTTGTCAGTATGGATAAAGACCCAAGGAATAACCTCCCCCCCCAAAAAAGGTAAAAATTTGTAGTATTTAATGATAGCTAACACGGGCACATACACCACCTCAGGAGCTGCACTCAATACTTTATGTATGTTAATTTGTTTAGTCTCATTTAATGCCGGGGTGCCAGCGTTAAAAGCTCAGATCTTTCTGAGCCGCTTCCAGGCTGTTGAGAGCATGAGCCCTGGAGCCTGGGCTTGGGTTTACACCCTGTCTCCTCCTTCCTAGTTGTGCACCCCTGGACTAGGTACTTACCCTCTCTAACTCAGTTTCTTCAGCTGTAAAATAGGGCTAATAAAGCATTTACATCCCAGGGTTGTCTTGAGGATTAAATGAGTGGTTGCAAGTCAGTGCTTGGTAAGTCATAAACGTGAGCATAGATGGGTAATTTTGTTTTGGATTAGAGAGTTTACTTTTTTAAAAAATATGCTTTTTAAACATATTTTAGAGAGAAAGGATGGGAGAAGAGGGAGAGAGAGAAAGAGAGAGAGAGAGAGAGAGAGAGAGAGAGAGAGAGAGAGAGAAACATTGATGTAAGAAACATTGATCAGCGCCATCCAGTGACTGAACCCACAACCCGGGCATGTACCCTGACCGAGAATCTAACTGTGACCTCCTGGTTCATAGGTTGACCCTCAACAATTGAGCCACTCTGGCCTGGCTATTATTATTATTTTGATTTCCCTACCTTCCCACCCCAACCATTTATAAATGCAAAACTATTCTTAGCCTCTCACTGGTTGTACAGAAACAGGTATTGCTGTCATGGGCTCACCTGAATCTTTTGCAGAAGGTGACATGAGCAGCATAGCCTAAATTCCAAGGACTGAAATAAAGAATTTTCCTCCGTTCATCCCCACAGTCTCCTCAAACTGACTTTGGACAAAGTTCTTCTTGGGATGAAGGGTCTTTAGGGGCCCTTGCCCCCTCTCCAATGTGCAGACACACGTGGTACTGAGGATGTCATTTGAAATGTTGAACCCTGCTCTTTGGGGCTTTTATGTTATACTGTGGAGAAGAAATAAAAATAACCAGCAGTTATGTCCTCTCAGGATGTAAAAGTAACCAAGTTTGCTGAAAGGCACTGAAAAGAGTAAGCAAAGGAAAAATGGATAAGAAAGGCACACTGTTAATCAACAGAACCCTCTTGTCAGAAAACACACTGGCTACTGTTTTTAATGAGTCGGCCATTCCTGCAGCTGAAATCAAGACACGTTTCAAATTCTTTAGTTTCTTTTTTTTGGCGGGTGGGGGGGCGGTGGTGGCTGTTTTTTTATTGTATTAAGTGAAGCTGCAGGGAAGAGGTGGTGTTGGAGTAAGGAGAGATGAAAATTTTATGTTCATAGCCTTTTTAAAATATTAGTTATATCCTTTAAAGATAGATATGCAATTAGAATTCATTGGATTTGATTTAATTAGTCCAAGAGGATGAGGGGAAGAAACTTATTCTTTGTATTGGAAACTCTCAGACATTGCTTGCTCACATGATGATTTTTCTTTGTAAGGATCATAGCCTCTCTGTTTATTTCCAAGAGCAGTGGGCTTTTGTGGAATGACATGAATAGAGATCACGACCAACAAGCCTGTTCTGAGCTAACCACCTCATTTGTGGGTGTTTGCCCTCCACGAAGCTCAGGGGAGTCTTGTGTTGGCCCAACAGAGCACAGCTGTTTCCTTTCATTCCAGCAATCAAATGATGGCCTTGACTCTTGGATACTATCACATAGACTCCTCCTGTTTTGCTTTTGAGCAGAAAACATCCTGTTTCATCGTGCATGTTTAAAGGAATAATTTAAATATGCCTCGTAGAAATGATATTCATACTTTTACTTACCCAGAGAATATTAAGAGGTGGTGACATATTTTTTTCATATACACAGGATGTACATTAGGAAGTTAATACTCCCTGTGTTCTCTTAGACAACTGTGATAACTATATGTATATGGTAAATACTTATTTTTTCATGATTCTCCCTTGTTCATATAATTTTCTTACTCTTCTTTCTTTTTGAAAACTCTAATGGTGGTTATAAATTACCTGTTTTGGGAGGAGATGGGAGAATATTATCTATAATAATAAAAGTGCAATATGCTAATTAGACCAGCTGTCCTCCTGGACATCCTTCCGGACGACCTTCCGGACAAAAGCCGGGGCTGCAAGGGAAGCCTGGGTCCCGAGTGCTGGAGGGAACCCCAGGTCCTGGGTGCCAGAAGGAAGCCAGTACCGGCAGCCAGGGGAAGGAAGGCCTACTCTTGCACAAATTTTGTGCATCAGCCTCTAGTTATTTATATGCTAGCTGAATTTTAAAATTCACAAAGTGGAGGAAATACTACTTTTTCTTAAGAGTGTCTTGTAGCAAATCCTAATTTGATCAGGTAGTCTAGAGCAGTGGCTTTCAATTTTTTTTTTTTACCTTGATCATCAGTAAGATATTTTAATGACCTGGAAAACACACACACGCGCACACACACAGGATTATAGGGGTAAACAGAAGTTTATCTTAGCCTCAAATTTCTTGCTAAATCTGCCATTCAGCTTTGGCCAAATGGTGCAATGCCTGCTTTAGTGTCCTTTTAGGCACACCTAGACTTGCATTAGAACAAGGATTGAGATTGCATTGGTAACTCTCCTGTCTAACCAGTGTAGTGGCCCTAGTAATGCAAACAAGACATGCCATTTGGATGTATTATTATCTTTTTTTTAATTCTCACCTGAGGATATTTTTCCCATTGATCCTTTAGAGAGAGTAGAAGAGAGGGAGTGGGGATGTGCCCGCAACCAAGGCACATGCCCCTGACCGGAATCGAACCTGGGACCCTTCAGTCCGCAGGCTGATGCTCTATCCACTGAGCCAAACCGGTTTTGGCTACCACGTACTCTTGACTGGGAATTGAACCTGAGACCCTTTGGCCTGTGGGCAGACGCTCTAACCACTGAGCACCCAGCTAGGGCTAGATTTATTATCTTAATATTCACTGTGAAAAACAGGTTAAATTCTCTAAATGTGACTTATCCCAAATGTTCCCTTTTGTGCTTTATATATGAAAATTCCCTCAGTCAATTGAAAGTTTAAATTTACATTTATTATTAGAAAGTAAAATATTGCTATAAATAATGATGATTGTGGAGGCTGTGAATTTTATATGTCCAAAATTATTATATAAATAGTATGGATTATAGGTATAGATTGGGAATTAATGTTACGAGAGTGCAATTGCTAATAATTTTGGGGAAACCAATGTGTCATTTGTGGGATTGCCTTCAGTAAAATTGCATCATTATGATTAAGCAAATCTTCCAGCACAGAGATAAACAGGAGGCCAAGTCTTGACTTCAGTCGTTTTCTATTAGGGGTGAAGGAAAGCTTACTAACTTGGTGGTAACATGACCACAGGCAACAGCTAAGCTGGAGGGCTAGCACCAAACTAGCTTGCTTTTCCACAGACCTCATTTTATTTATTTATTTAACACCTTTTAAAAAATGGAATCTATTTATATATATTTGATTTTAGAGAGAGGAAGTGAAAGAGATATATAGGGGATGAAAGAGATATGTAGGGGACATCGATTGGCTGCCACCTGCATGCTCCCTACTGGGGATTGAGCCAAAATATAGGCATGTGCCCTGACCTGGAATCGAATTGGCAATCTCTTGATGCATGGGTCAGTGCTCAACCACTGAACCACATGGGCTGGGCTCCACAGACCTAATTTTATACCAGTCTCATCTAGCTGCAGTTTATAGTGCCAAGGAATTATGGTTTTTGCCCTTTTATATCAAATTTTAAAAATGGGTCTATCAGAACTTTTAATGCTAAGATTATAATCATAATTATTTTTTGAATAAAATTTCAGATTTATTCTTGTTTCTCAATAGTTCATTCCGTAAAGGCAACATTTGGCTTTGGCACATACTGATTTCAATATTTGGCCTTTTGGCATGATGCCAAACAAAATGTGTTTATTTCTAAAATAATCATCCATCTATCCAATCCCAATGAAACAAAAATTTCACAGAACTCTTATTACTTCTGTTGTGTACAGTGTGCTCTGGTCTTTTCAGTTCTACTTAATATTTTTTAAAGCTACTAAGTTAGCTTCACAATAATATATATATATATGTGTGTGTGTGTGTGTGTGTGTGTGTGTATGTGTGTGTGTGTGTGTATATGTATATATATATAATGTACAGGCTATGATTTGCAGTTTAAAAATGTTGAGACTTTTTAAATGTTGAGACTGTTCTGCGGGTAGTGACACTGTCCTGGGAGGGTCATCTTTGTATGAAGTATTTAGTCCTACAGAAGATGCAATGAAGGTTTTCTAGTTATGTTTCTTTCCCAGAAATGCAATTTAAGAGCTCAAAGGCATGTTAACATAAAATATGAATTACTAAATACTTTTCTGTAATTGTTGTGCCAGTTTACACACCCACCAGTAGTGTTTGAGAATTCCAGTTATTCAGGATTCTTAACACTTAACATTGTCAATATTTTCCGTTTTAACCATCATAGGTGGGTATGTAGTAGTTACCATAGCCATTCTAAATGAAGCTTTAGATGGCTCATGCTTCCCAGATTTGTAGAACATCAGTGACAGAGCCAAGCTGTCCTAGGTCACTAAGTTCTGATATTGAAAAGGCATTCCTCTTGCTGTGTATTATATGTCTGTTCGTTATAGTAAGCAGTCCCATTTTAATTCTGTCTTACAGGCTTATTCTAGAAGCTTTTCTACTCCTTCACCAACAGAGAACAAAGTAGAGTAGAAATTTTATGTTTGAGTTTATAAGCCCCAAGTTCTAAGTGTTAGTTCAGGTCTTAGAGATACAGCAGTTCATACTCTGCAAACCTCAGAAACAGAAAATTCTCTTACCCTTTCTCTGTACAAGGCCCTGTGCAGATCCCCTTCCATCTACCTGCCTCAACCACGGTGGACAAGGATTAGTGTACTGAAGTCCGGACCCAAAGAAATAGTGTTTGGCTCATGACTGGTGGACTCAGCCCTTCTCTATGGGGACAGGGTGGGGTTGCAAAGAAATGGAAAGGGTGTGCCTGGGAAGGTGAGAAGCCAGCAGAGTGAAAAACCAACAGGGGCCCGCAGCTGTGGGTGTTTACTTATCTTGCTAACCTCAGGAAACCAGCCTTGCTGAAATCCTTAATACCATTCGCATGCTACTTCATGTGAGAGCCACGTAAAACATCAGGCAAAAGATTGGGCTTCTTTCCAGTCTCATTCAGGGTGAATTCCAGGGTGATTGCAGGTAATCCATGCAGTCTTCCCAGCTCTACTTTCTCTTTTTGTTATGTGTAACCAGACTTCCATGAGAAAATGATGAAGATGGAAGTTGCCCGAATAAGGCATCGAAGTTAGCCTCCCTGCATATATAAGAACACAACTATTTCACATTTGTGAATCTGCTTTCTTTAAATAAAATTGGAATTGATCAGTACCAATTTTGATGATTAGCATGTTTATTATTATTTTTTAGATGTCTGCAAGGGTAAGCACTATAGGAAGACATAGTACCCTGATTTCTTCCCTTCAATACTTTGTTTAAACCTGTATAGAACAGTAGGTTAAAAGGGATCCACAAGAGGCTAACATCCCAACATCCTATATAATAAAAGCCTAATATGTTAAGTGTCCATCCAGTCAGCTGTTCAACCAATCAAAGTATAATATGCTAATGATATGCTAAGGCTGCTCAACCGCTCACTATGATGTGCACTGACCACCAGGGGGCAGAAACTCAATGCAGGAGCTTCCCCCTGGTGGTCAATGCACTCCCACAGCGTGAGCTCTGCTCAGCCAGAAGCCCTGAGCTGGGCGAGTGCGACGGTGGTGGGAGCCTTTCCTGCCTCTGTGGCAGTCGGACATCCCCTGAGGGCTCCCTGACTGGGAGGAGGTGCACTGAGGTACTCCCCCCGAGTGTACGAATTTCATGCACCAGGCCTCTTAGTTAATCAATAAATAGGATCGTATTGTATGTGGTAGTATTTCTACAGCATTACACAGAATGCTCCCTTGTATAACAACCTAAAGCAGTGATTTCCAAGAATTTTTAAAGCATGCAATACATGACTGTTTAGTCAGGCACACTGACGTCTTTTCCCTTAGATTATCAAATAAAAAAATGACAACAGCCATCACAACAATAGCTGTCCGGTGTGAATGAATCAAAATTATACCTTTTATTTTATTTTATTTTTGTCAGATTGGCTAAAAATATATTTTTTGGTGTGCCACAGGATTTTAGTAATTTGTTTATGTGTGCCATAAGATGAAAAATGTTGAAAATCTCTGGCCTAAAGATAGTTGCATGATGTTCAATGTAAATCAAAATGAAAATAAATCCCCACTTCCTTTTAGTTGTGAACAGTTCGACAATCACAAAAGATACAATTACAAAAATCAATGGATTAGTCACAACCTGAAATATTTTTTCAGGTTCTTTATATTGAATTTTATCTATGCTATTAAATTGCCATGGACCCTTGTTTTCAAAATTAGCCAAAGTACAACCCTTTGCTGTCATTCCCTCAAAGAAACTAGAAAGTTCTGTTTTTATTAATTTGACTGCTTCCCTGTGTAACTTCTCTTTGGAAAGTTCGAAGTAATCAAGATAACCAGTCTTCCCTCTCAGAGAGACAGTCAGGTCAGCAGAAAATATTTCTCCTGGCAACGCCTTCTTCCCTTTGGCAGGCCTGTGGGTGTGGTTAAAAAAGCAAACTCCAAACAAAAAATTTTTTCACCTTTTCTTCTGCCTATAACCCTCCCCTTAGTAGAGCAGGAAAGAAGTGGCACTAGAATTCAGATTGCAAAAAAGTATTTCATTGCAGCACACTAAGTAGCAGGGATCTGAACTTTTAAAATATGTAGATTAAAAGGGATCCACAAGAGGCTAACATCCCAACATTAATTGATAAATAGTATCATTAGGGCATTTAGAAGAAAGAATGATGCCCCCTTAACCCCCATGAAAGTATCTTTACAGCTTTATTTGATTGTAAAAGTAATACATGCTATGTGTAATGAATATAAACAATACATGTAAAATAGAATGTGAAGGTTCCTCATACTTGGTTCTCTCTGTTAAGGTGTGTGTGTGTGTGTGTGTGGTCAATTT